AATTAACGTTAATTTTCGTTTAACGTTAACGTATTTTACGTTAACGTTAATTCTAACGTAAACGTAAAGTACGTTAACGTTAATTTTAACGTAAACGTAAAGTACGTTAACGTTAATTCTAACGTAACGTTAATGTGACAGTCCTACGTTTGATGAAAATATAAAATTTATTGTTTTCTTATTTTAACAGAAAAAACAGAATAATTTTTCTTGTAGGAAAGCCTAAATAGGGTCAGAATAGAATAAACTGTAAAAGAAAAGTATATGTATAGGTGAAGTATTCTTGTTTCGTCGACAACTCACTCTCACACCGCCCCTCCCGCCTCTGATGTGGTCTGATCTGTATTGTTTGAAGTGGCCGCTTTGTCGAATACCCCGTATAGGCTGATAAAAGAATAATCGTTTGACACACAGCGGTTAATTGTCTTCGAAGAAGTAATCAAATCAATTAGAAAAGAACAGAAAGTTCCTGTATACATCTATATAAAAAATACGTTATTTCCCGAACTCCGCACACTTTTAATAAAAACTGACTATATCTATATCCCAAACTCCACACATAATTACATAAATTCTACTAGATTTTCTACTTAAGATTTGCTTAAGTTTTTTTAAGAAACTGGTGCTCGTTTCACGAAAAAACTTAAGTCTAACTTAAATACATGACTTAAGACAAATATATTGGATATATATTTGGATATATATATATAATATATTCGTGGAAATATATTAGTCAAGATTGAATTTGCGGTAAGGGGAGTTTCTCCATGATGTCGGAAGATGGGTATGTCCCGTTTTGCCTGAAATGGCCCATATACAGCATTGGATAGAGTAATCGCAATCAACTTTTTGGTCAAAAAGTCAATTAAATTGTAATTGTCAACTGTAGTTACCAGTGTCAGCTCAAATTACAATTATCAACCATAGGTATAACTATCAACCATTTTAACTTGATTAAGTTTTTGATCTGCAGAATCTATTTGATTTAGTTGAACTAACAGTTATTTTGAATTAATTGACAAGTATTATATCAAGCACAAACTCGGTTTCTGCTGGCAAAATTCTAAGGTTTCACGGTTTTAGTGAAAACACTATTCGATGGTGATATATTAATTGCTTTTCATGTTCTCTCAGGAAGTAGCTCCCCATGAAACGATAAGAAGTCTAAATGCACGAATGAAATATGCAAACGTAATTCCAAAGTGAAAGACAGATACGTGAATATAAGAACAATTTACATTGCTCCTATTTCTGATTTTGAAACAACTGTCTCTATTATGAACAGTCGGAAAGATAATGGTTTAGTGCAAAACTTTCCGACTACTGTAGGTTTGACAGGTTCACTAAGATGCTTTTTCTGCTGCAAAACCTGGAGAGGTTCTTATACACAGCCTATGAGATTAAGAAACTTTAGTGAGGTTTCATGTATATGTAACATAGTCTAAAGGTGTAGTAAAGGTGAAGTCTCATAGGACTCAGTTGGCACTTTTATCAGTGTAGTTCAAGCAAGTTCCGCTAGGACCATGTTTATAAAAAACGAGTTCAGCCTAAAAAAATGGTGGGCCTACTGAGCTGGTTCGATTGTTCTCCTCCACCGTTTCCACCAACAATGACACTTCCCTTTGTGACTCCTTTGGGCCAACGCATTATTCAATGATTTCCCCGATCAGCTACAAAGACAGTGCGCAACTGATCGACAACGACTCCTTCAGGATATGACAATTGTGTAAGATCATTTCCTTGTCCTTGACCGGCAGCCACGACAATGTCTTGTTTTGCACCTTCCACCCATTCCAGCACACGATGATTTCCGCAATCAGACACGTATACTGAATGATCTCGATCGACGAATACGTATTGTGGGTAAGAGAGTTGATCGAGACGATTTCCACTTCCATTGCCACCTGCAACCACTATTCCTTGAGATTCTCCTCTTCGATATCGTCTCACTTCATGTTTTCCATAGTCAACGACATAGAGAGATCCATTCTCGTCCATTGTCAAACCCACACAATTGATGTTGAAGATGATTGTTTCTCCACTTGTCCCATTTCGACGAGGCTATCGAACCACTCTTTTATTCGAATAATCGCAGATGATGAGACTATCTCTCTCTTTGTCGACAATCACATCAAATAGATCAGACAACTGATGAGTCCCATTTCCTTGTCCATTTCCACCGGCAACCACTTGGCCACTCGTCGCACCCCATTT